TTATATTTTTTGCACAAAATCAGWCDTRCGAAATMGGCTCTGAGAGGCTAAGATAATATTAGTGATGAAGAACAAAAAGCATCGGCAAAATTTTACCGAGGCGAGTGCCTCGATTGGCCTCTTACTAGCTACGGCCCTGGTTAAGTTCCTGCATCAAATCGCGAGAATCAACTTTGAAGACAATTTTCAATGGAGCGAAGTATTGAATGTCATAAAACACTTTGACAATAATAGCTTCTTACTAAAAACACGATTGTAAATATTCTAAATCTATGTGTAATTCAGCTCTCTAGTATGTCAAAGATAAATAAACAGTACTATCAGTTTTTTGTATCCGAAACTCTCAAAAAATCAAGATGGCGTCGTTATGTTATCTACAATTGTGTACATGGATTGTTCCGTATCACATTCCAATCGCCTGTTTACATATCATTTTATAAATACTATATATTTGATTAATTATAGAAGCTGTAGATGAATATATTCTGTCGATAAATGCATTTATTGTGGTTTTAACATGAAAAACTATCGTGAAAATCTTCTTTTGACTTCAACACGAAAGTATACATGTTCTTGATCTTAGTTTCACTCGTTTGATTGACCCGCAAACAACCTTTTTTCTTTGCCATTTTTAAGGATTATAATTATAAGATTATTCAATTTGAGCCTCGTCTGTCCTTCACGTCAAAATGAACGTTTGGTATGCCGAACTTGATTTCCATTTGGAGATAGACATGAATGATAATAATAATGATGATGATGATTTTAATTTCATGTAATTTGAATAGASCATACGATATTAAGGCCTTATTGGACATCAGCTCTGTGAAAAGTTTGTAAAATAAAAAAAAAACAGTCAGCAAAGACTGTTTAACGTTTAATAGATTGCAATTAATATGTTGTCTCGTCCATCTAAACAGGAAGTCTTACTTGGACATTAAATAAACAAAAGATTAAAACTATACACATCTGGTGTATATCGTACATTAGAAAGCCTACAAGTTCAAAATGTAATTAACTATAACGACCAATGAAAGGAATAGTGTGTGCAGTTGTCAATTTTTATATCAACGTTGGATCGTATTTATTCATCACTTGGCAAAAGACTGCGTTCAAAACAGGACTCAGTTTTTGGTCCTTTTGTCTGGATATCGCAAGAAAGGAAGCAGAAATCTAAGCAATTGAACGGGAAATATACCCTGAGGTGCGTTCCAAGGTATGTAACAGGCTGTGCTCTACTTAGAGGCGCATAAAAACAAAGGGAAAAACATTAAATTGCAGTATTTTCAAATCCATATACCATTTAAATATATATAAACTACTTTTTTTACTGAGAAAAATGAGAAATCTCTCAAAAAAGGATTTTAATGTACCAATTTGATCAATGTTTTCTTCCGTCTTTTTCGTGGGCATTGTATATTGAATTTTGCTGTCAAAATGACGTATTTGACTAATTGGGAATTTATATCATGTATAACCAGCTCATATTCTTCCTAATTCAACAGATGAAAAACCTGTACATCGCGATTTAAATTCTGAATGTTGTTTTTTCTCTTTAAAATATAATAGAAACCGAATATGAAGCAAACCGCACTTAAATTTGATAATTAGCAAAAAATTATTACAATGATAACATAGTAATTATACCGTCACTTTTTATTATTTTATTAGCTGGTGATGATCGGGATTATATCGTGGCTTTTTGTAATGGAAGCCGTTGCCATAGTCACTGGAAACGTCATCATAATATTGCTATTTACAAGAACGCCTCGTCTACGCAGACGCAAATATGCACAGATTGTCAGCGTGGCTGTAGCTGATCTCCTCGTAGGTCTGATATCGATTCCTATGAATATCAAGTACCAAGAAGATAGAAACGATGGACTGCATGATGGCACACTCATTTTAGTCTATAAAATTCAAGACTCTTTCCTTGGAACTGCTTCCTTATTTGGTTTGGCTGCGTTAGCCATTGAACGAGCACATGCGACATACTTCCCTTTTAACTACCGCTCACTCAGTAATGTCCCATATAGGATTAGTGTAGTTCTGGTGTGGATTTTGTCGCTTTTGACCGCTGCCTTTCCGTATTTGTTCACCGATAATTCAGAGCTTTTGACTATGATCAAAGTTACTAGAATAGGTGTTGGACTAATAGTTATTACATTTTTCTATCTTTTAATTTTAATCAATATTCGCTGCATGAAAACACTGAGTAACAATGCGGTCTACAGCAAGGACAAGTCACTGTCTATCACATTTGCAGTAATAACTATTATAAGTTTAATAGCTTGGTTACCTTATAAAATCATGATTCTCTATATTACAATTCAAAAACAAGAAGTTCCAAGCGCTTATTATTACCCATGCAAATTCTTGCATTATGGGAATTCGTTTGCTAATTTTATTGTTTTGATATTGCGCATGCGTGATTTCAGAGTAGAGATGGTTCGAACATGCTCTTGCTTATTGCCAGAAAACGACGAGAACACGACTAACAGCACAACACACAACAACCGCAACTGCACCGGTCGAATCGAGGCCACAATACCTAATGAAGCATGAAGCGTGCACGCGTTTTCTCATTATTTCCTCTTCTTTTCTTAGTTCACTTTTACTTCGAACGCCAGACGTCAACAACGCTTCTAGAACTCATTAATAATTCATGAGCTATTAGTCCAATGAGCATCGAACTATTGGGTCACATGATGGGCCTTTATATCCCGATAAAACACACTCTTTCGTTCTTTATACACTTATAACATGATCACTGTTTAATTTCATGTTTTATTATACTGTCCATTCTTTCGCGTTTGTTCATAAATTCGGTCGTTTTCTCGTGTATGGGAATATCACTATTCGTTTTCGAGTTTTTACGTTTCTTTGTAATTTTTAAAACAAAGTTGACGTTTAGCGTTCGCCGTAAACATGAATCTAAATCACTATTATGACAACTTGTTGCTACGTAATTATAAACTTGAAAATAGTCCGCCATTGCTTCTTTTATCGATATAATTATTGTTTAATCAAAATGGAAAAATAACTATCAAGCTTGTGAAATTGTAGGCGGAATTCTTAAATCAATAAAACATATTATTGTAGTCTAATTCTACTGCACGTGAATTAAAACAGAAAACATTGAAGTAAAGAAAAATGCTTCGAWGAGTCCTCGTTAGTAACACTTGCAGGAAGTAGGACCATTAATAACCATCTCAACTCAATTTATAGCATTTGACACAACAATAACACGGGAATTTTACTTGTGTCAAGATTTTGATTGATTGAATCTCGTATGAAAGATCATATAATGCAGAAATAATCACAATTTTACATATTATTTTCTTCAAATTTTACATTCAAAAAGAACCATTGGAATCAGTGAACAGCAAATGGATTCTCAGTATGCCTCTCGCACATTTCTCGTATCAAATACATTTTATACAAAAACACTCGTCGTAGTGGAGTTTTGTTTGCGCGACAAATTTTCCCTTCGCTTTGCGCATGTGTGAACGAAAATGGGAATTGACCATTGATCAAGTTCGGTGGTGAAAAGACGTGCAAAGAGCCTCGTCTCAACAACAATAATACCCCAAAAATACAGAATACACCTTATGTACAGTTTGAAAATCAATAAATTAATGTAAATAGCCACTTTAAAGTGGTCGTTTTTATTTTTTTCAAGTCTGAGAGTTAAGAGTTATTGCTAAGACTATATAAAGGACATTGACAAGATTTTTAGTGATAAGGTTTTCTAAGTAAAGCGTCATTTTTCATCGCTAGCATACAAAAGAAAACAAGTTCTTGTAACAAACACTGACAACGTCTACTAAGCTGGCGATTCATTGGTTGATAACTATAGCTAAGACTATACTTTCTTCATTTTGAAACAAATTGTAAACTAGTTTGATTGAAAGATAAAGTAACAACTGTACGTTTCCACAGCCTTTGCAGCTCTTTATGAAAGTTAGTATTGTCTTCGTAAGCATTGTTGACCAGCTGTTGCCACTCGACACCCTAAACTTACGTACATTTCGCGAGTGCAAATACAATATAACAATTCATAGATTCACATTCTACTGATATGATTACTAAGAAACAATCATCAATGAATGATAATATGTTATTTATAACATAAAGAAAGATAATTAGAWTTAGATGGACGTCACCAAAGACCGCCTGGCGAAGAACAGTGACGAAGGATAGAATGCGTGGAATTAGTGGGAGGAAAAAAGGAAGCTAGAAAACAACCAAGAGAAAATGAGAATCAAATAGAAGGCTAACCTAAATGACTACATTGTGAAAGGTGGGAACTGAAGGTATTAGTAGGAAAAGAGTGAATTAGTGTATRTGTATGTGTTTTTAACAATACTAGTAAATCACCTCGGAAAACTAWGAGTTTTTTTTTTCAGTGACATGCAGTGCCAAAAACATATCACTATAATTGTTGATAAAAATCTTAGAATAAAACAGTTTTGCCCAGTCTGATAAAGTTAACATCACAGACAGAATACCCTCCCTCGAGAGATATCAATTTCTGAATCAATTGCTAGCGACCAAGTAATGTCACTGATTTGAAATACCAAAATCCTTTTTTTTTTTCTCCTTCTTCTTTTCTTTTACTTAAGCAAATGTTTTTGTACTTCATTGACATTTTACGATTTCAATTCCCTCAATTAAAGCATTAGCCAATCGATATTCGTAAAACCTTTAGGAGAATTGATCGTATCATCATACAAGACAGACATCTGGTGTGTCTTCTTAATTTATAAACCATTAGCTTAAAGCCACTGAATTGGAAGGGATTTCATAATAAGGTAAGATATAAAACAGTCTTCGGAATATTTAACAATCTATAGACACCGTTAGATTCCAAACAAACTGTAGACAATAGTAAAACGGATAAAAACACTTCTAAGAAACCGTATCAGTGACTTGAGAAATCTTGAAAACCCAGGTGTTACATCGAGAAAGGTCTTGCTTGAAAAACGGTTCGGAAAATCAGATTTTATTTGATTTAACAAGAAAAATCCGCGTTAATTTTCAAGAGAATCAAATGTAATTAAAATGTTAACATCTTGTGACCAAAAAAAATGAAATGTGGAAACTTATCACTTTGCAAATGTTGACACAAAGGATAGAAACTATGCATTTTCAACCTTGAATTCATCTAGTTTTTGATGYTCTTTTCCGACCGAGAGCAAATTCAATATTCTTTCCACTTCTTCATTAAGTCAATTGTTGTTAGTTTTCATACATCAGTCCCATCAAAAACAAATGTCCAAACTGACACTGTTTTTATTATAAAACAAGATAAAATTGAAATGATGCTGTATTTGTTGATAACTGGATAAAATATGTTCTTTTGGACCGCTTTAGTAGACTTGTCAAAGCGTTCGAGAACACGCAGACGTAGATAACAATGAGCACTCATCCTATACTACTGACAATGTAAATATTTGGGTTGATTATCAGTCATGACACATCAAACTTTTTATTAGTTAACAATTTAATTTGGATTGCTTTTTTCTCATAGCTCCAAGGTATAAAAACAACTTATGTATAAAAGAAAAAACTATTTAAGAACACACTTGGGGTATACTTACGATATTATGCACACCTCGTTAAAAACAAGGAAATGAACACTTTTTAAACCGTTTTTGTTTCCGTACTAGGAGCATACTTTATCTGCTATGATCACACGTTTCTCGAGCGATAATTGGCTAAGAAAATTGTAAAACAGAGTGTTTAACGATAAAATGACGATTTTTGGAGCTTCCACTTGCGTCTTGATCAGGTTTGACGTCGTATAACAAGGACTCAATGATTATGATACCACACGATGCACAACAGATATAGACGTCATGTTTACTTGTAATATATAGAATGAGCGGGAGACTTTTATAAAACTGCGAGCTGCAAGTGAAAAAGCTAGGATTAATAACAGCGCTATGTTGATTTAATTCCTTATCCAATAAGCCCAAAAAAATCTGACTATAAATAACATGACGACCAGATCGATCCATTTCGAGATGAAACTTTATTATTACATTTTCATTTTACAGTTTAATCCACTGCTTTACTAACACCCCTCTCTGACTCGATTTTTTAACAGGAAAGTAACGTTGTGGCTCAAGTACTAAAACATGTCGTACACTACATGGGTTTTGGTTATTGAATCTGTTCTAATTATAACAGTAAACGTCATAACAATCGTCATATTTACGACCACGTTGCGCCTGCGCAMAAGACAGTATGTATTGATAATCAGCCTCGCWGTGGCTGATCTTTTAGTGGGACTTATTTCCGTGCCAATGCACATTGTTTACGAAGAAGAGCATCTAGTTTCCAATCAACCTTGGTTATCACGTCTTTATTATGCACAAGATACGTTCTTTGGAGCGGCTTCCTTATTTGGTTTGGCAGCGTTGGCCATTGAACGAGCACATGCAACATTCGCGCCGTTCAAGCATCACACCTTGACCAATGTCCCGTATGTTGTTGGGATCATTATAATGTGGGTGGTACCTTTTGCTGCAAGTGCAGTGCCCTTTGCATTTGACAATGAAGCCATAATAGGAGTGCCACGAATTGGGACTATTGCCATTTCACTTATAATAATAGTCACGGCTTACCTCCTCATTTTTATCAACGTCCGTTGCTTGGCAACTCAACAATCTCATAACATGACCGACCATGGCAACAAGAAGCTCACCGCAACCATAGCAATTGTTACTATTCTTAGCCTTATGACGTGGGCCCCATATCAATCTGCTGTTATTTTTCATTTAATTAAGAAAAGCAAAACGAAAACGTCCTGGTTGGTGCGAAACACAACGAAGCTTATCATCTACGCGAACTCCCTCGTAAACTTCTTTATCTACGCGTGGCGAATGAGGGAATTCAAGAGGGAAATCATTCGCAAAATGAAATGCTGTAGCAAGATAACTCCAGAAGAAGATATTGAGATACAGGAAAATAACCAACCAGCAACATCAACAAGACAGTCGAAGTGAAATGAATCAGAATCATCACCGACATTTATATTGGTTGTCAAGGAATTACGACTTTTAAGACTTAAAAAAATCAAAACATTGCTATTTGTAAATACTTTAACTAGTCAAAAAAGGCTCAACATTGCACAAAACACAGATCAAGATCGTTTGCAAGTTAATACATTTCTTTAGCAGCCTTTTTACTTTAAAAATGATCCTTTCCTTGTCCATCTTTCCGTATCTAGTAACCTTACCTTTTTCTGTATTACTTTAATATAATGAGCTTTATAACTTGCTTTTCTAGGGCAAATTTTCATTACAAACAGTTGCAGCTGTGTCTAGTAAACGTCAGCATACGCAGTCGAGTTTGCAGATCTTGTGAATGATTAAGCACAATCTAAATAAAAACGAAATAAAGTTGATTTAGTGTCATTTTCAATATATTCTCATTTTTCTCAATACAAATCTCTCTGGTGAAATCTGTTTTGGATGCACATGCGCAGTTCACTTCACTTGACTTTTATTAATCTTATATTTGATGTTTATCCAAGCCATGCTATGAAATACCATCATTTTGACTTTGACACTTTTAATCAAAAAATCTGTCTATATAGCATTTTAGATAAATCAAATTTAATTAATCAAAAAAGTTACAATAATATAGTTTGTATTGCGGGCATCAGCTTCTTTTGAGAGAACACATCGATCTATCAACATCGTTCCTTTGCAATGTGGCCCAACGCATGGCTGTTCATACTGGAGGCTGTCGCCATTACAGCAGCCAATACTGCAACAATCGTTATCTTTGCAAGAAAACGTCGTCTTCACAATAAGCAATACATTATGATTATCAGCCAGGCTGTCGCTGATCTCTTCGTTGGTCTTGTGTCCGTTCCCATGTTTATTGTATCTAGAAGGGCAAAAGACCTGCCCTATCCTTCCCTAGTAAGGAAACTCTATTTTATAACCGATGGCTTCTTTGCAGCGGCTTCCTTATTTGGTTTGGCAGCGTTGGCCACTGAACGAGCACATGCAACATACTTTCCATTCAGACACTCTACATTAGGCAAAGGCCCGTACATCATCGGGATAGTTTTGATGTGGGCAGCTCCAGTCATCGTGGCAATTGGCCTATCTGTGAATTTCATGGATAATCAGCGCGCGATAGTCAGGATGGTGTTAATTTGTTCCACACTTGTAATCATTTCTGTGGCTTATTCTCTCATCGTTTACAAAGTCCGATGCCAAACCACTCATGATCAAGCTCATGATGTAACCATCCAAGAAAACAAGAAACTGACTGTCACTCTTGCTGTTGTAACTGCATTAAGTCTGGCCATGTGGCTGCCCTTTCAATTTGCNACAGTATAATAAAAAAATAACAAATCATCAGCTTAAATAATACGTATGTCAATAAAAATGATCATTCTATTTGATGCGGATTACATAACGAACGGGTGTGTATATAACATTTTGAAGATATAGTAAGTATGGAGCTAAAATTAACTTACATATAATATCCATTGAACCTACGAAGTTATTGTTCACACTTCATCAGGGGGTGGAAAGTGTATTCACCGCTTCTCTTTCGTCTGCGCAGTCCCCGGTAAAGGCTGTCAATATACAGTCTAGTAATCTGTAYTTGTAGTAATATTATAGTCAGGGACACATTGTTTGCTGACATTTCATTCATAACGTATGATTCACTTTCAAAAGTGTCTCCGTATTTGCTTTGGTAGCTTTTACCACTGAATGAAAACAGAGAGCCGAGAAAGAATTCTTTTTCTAGGAGATGACAGCAAMATTTCTAATTCTGACAACAGTTCCTTTTAGCAATCATCCAATTTCGTCTGCATAAAAAGCTTGGTTTAGCCTTCGTAACTAATTAAACTACAGTTACTTTTGTTAGTTTTTGTGTTGTGACTACAGCAGATGACACTTGTATTCAGATTTTACTTGCGGTCTTATCACTAATCTTAGTATTKCTTGGGGTATGTTTATTTAAACATCCTATGAAAAGTCGAATTTGACATTTTTAATAAGTTCTACTTGTTTTTGTACACAGACTGCAAYTGTTATTTAAGTTTAATTAAAAACTGAAACAGTTATTATTATTTAATCCGAACAGCTTCCCCTCAGTGTTATTACACCGTATATAGGCTAGTCGAGAGCATCGACTTCGACGTGTAATGTGAACGTCCTTCGCATGGATATTATGGAGAATCATTTCCAGATCGATGTAAGCCGGTGATTGATAAGTAATGTGGAAGTTTATGTGGCTATTCATACTGGAAGCAGTCGCCATTACAGCAGCCAATGCTGCAACMATCGTCATATTCACCARAACACGCCGTCTTCRCAGYAAACAGTACATTATGATTATCAGCCAGGCTGTAGCYGATCTCTTCGTTGGSCTTGTGTCTGTTCCAGTGTTTATGGCACTACTAATGCTAAGCAAAGACCCGCGCTCTCCTCCTTCCTGGCTTGGACGAGTATTTTTGTTAAACGATGGTTTCTTTTCAGCAGCTTCCTTATTTGGTTTGGCAGCGTTGGCCATTGAACGAGCACATGCAACATACTTTCCATTCAGACACTCCACATTAGGTAAAGG